GAATTTTTTTGTTTCTAATTGATTAAATTTATAAATTTAGATGATTGGAATTTACGAGATGGGGTGATCGTTTTTACTTTACACATATTGTTTTATAGAATAAGGATGACAAACGAGCACACAGTCCACCTGATTGTAAATGGATGATGTGGCTCATAAACATCTTCTTTTATCCTCAATTAAATATCAAAATGCAGATGCTTTGTAACCCCTGTAGACTAAGATGGAACTCGTTTCCAGTAAAAAGGGTCTCCGGTTCTCTACATTCGCTTTATCAAACACATCATTAAGCTGCTGCAATTTACGCTGGTATCCTGTGAGAGTGTGGTCCTACCCCGGTAGAGACGACCCATTCGTGCTACAACCATAATATAGCTGCAGCGTGGCTCTACCACGTGAAACACGTTGCTGACTTGCAGTCATATTCTGTTATACTTTTGAATGATTTTGTATGACAAAACACAGTTAAAATTATATCCGCTAGAGGCAGTGTTAATGCATACAATTATATTCTATGGCAATCATCATCATAATTACAGCCCTTCACAATTCCACTGCTGAATATAGGCCTCTCCCAAGGAATGTCACAAAGCACGGTCCTGAGCCATCTGCATCTCTTACCATGTCGTTAGTAGATAGACGAGTGGGGGGACGCCCTACACTTCGTCTACCGGTATGAGGCTGCCACTCGAGAACCTTTTTTCCCCATCGGTTGTCGGTTCTTCGTGCTATATGGCCGGCCCATTGCCAAACCAGCTTACTAATCCATTGGGTCGGTTCTCTGGTTCTTTTTTTATAGGATAAGGGTGACAAACGAGCACACAGTCCACCTGATGGTAAGTGGTTACTGTGGCTCATAGACATCTACATCTATCCGCGATTACGAACCAAAGTGCAGGTGCGTTACCATACGAAACACAACAGCGTTAAGCTGCTATTTTACGCTGGTATTCTGTGAGAGCGTGGTCCTTCCCCGGTCGAGCCGACCCATTCGTGCTACAACTATACCAGAATTATAGTTGCAGCATGGCTCCACGTACCACGTATAAAACTACTGCGGATATCCTCATTTCATAGTTTATCTATGGTAATACGAACACATTAATGTCAAAAACTATTGTAAAGTAGTGTGCTAGCCTTGGGGCACTGATCTTGAAGAGTAATTGGTACAAATATAACGTTATGACGAAAGGAATACATTATTATAATTTTTACAAATATATATATTCATAAATTGAAGCATCTGTCTGTAATATTAAAATAACCGACTTATATTAAGCTCAATGGGTTACTTGCACGTTTAGACATAAACAACCATTTTTAAAAATTTATTTCTCGTATGTCTGTCTGGCCTAATCTTCGGAATGCCTGAATCGACTGTGATCAAATTTTAAAAACAGATAGAGAGCAATAACAGGAAGGATCTAGGCTACATTCTATCCTAAAATATTGGATATATTTTTAGAAAAAAAAAGACGAAAAATTTATCTTAAATCTAAGAAACGCCACATTAATAATTACCACCCAGGCGAAGTTCGGGCGGGTCGCTAGTGAGATAATAAATTATATGAATAAAAATGATATCGGTGAGGTAACATATTCAAAAGAGAAACGCAACGATAGACGGAAGATAAATTATAAGGCGAACATTACATAATATTGGTAACAGTATCAGCATCAATACTTATGTAACCAAAGATGGTACACATTACTTAAATTTGATATGATGATAGTAAAATGTAATACTCGTCGGTTATGTTATCGTAACAAATTATATGTCGCAAGGAATTATATTAAATTTCTGTTATTTGCCAAACATCAACAACCTACTGAGATGTTGAAGAATTTTACGAATAAAGAAAATTATACAACAACTTATTGTATGCAATTTAAAAAAAGGACTAACAAAAAGAAGAGGTTAAACATTCAGGTAGAAAATTATATTTTTCTATCGTTGCTATGATACATATTTCTCACATACAAGCATATATTAACATCAACAGCCTTTTTAGGTCCATTTTTTTATAGGCAAACGAGCATGCGGCTCACCTGATGGTAAGTGACTACCGCCGCCCATGAACAACCGCAACACCAGGGAGGGAATTGCAGATGCGTTGCCGGCCTTTTAAAAAGGAGTACGCTCTTTTCTTGAAGATCCCTAAGTCGTATCGGTCCGGAAAAATCGCTGATGGTAATCGATTCCACAAGGAAGTCGTGCGAGGAAGAAAACATCTTCTAAATCGCACAGTGGTGGACCGCCAATCATCCAGATGATGTGGATGGTATCGGGAGTTCTGCCGCGATGTGCGTTCGTGAAATTTGGCGGCTGGGATTAATCCGAACAATTCCTCAGAGCACTCCCCATGGTAGATGCGAAAGAAAATGCAAAGGGATGCAACATCTCTTCGCAGTGCCAATGAATCGAGCCGATCGGAAAGGGCTCGGTCGTCGACGATTCGAGCCGCTCTGCGCTGGATGCGATCAAGTGGAAGGAGCTGGCACTGGGGAGCCATTGCCTGACATCAGCCTTTTCTCGAACACGATAGCAGTACCTTTGGGAATAATTTATAGAATTATTTGAAAGATTTAATCTTCTGTATATGAAACAAGGCAGGAACGCAGAAAGAGTGGAATGTTCATTATTTCACATAGAGGATTTCAAGAATGAAATTAATAGGGTCGTTAATTTATATTATAATCGTGAGATAGAAATAAACGCCGAAATCAAGATCAATCTCACCGTAATATCTCAGTTTAGAAATGTAGATTTTATTATTTAGACGGTGGTCATATCTATTTGTAATGTTTTCTTAAATGTATAATGTTCAGTGGATTGAACAATTAAATGTAAGGTAGGTGAGGGTAATATGGCCACCTTAAGCTTTACCGCAAATAGATTTAAATTTATAGGTATACTAGCTTTCCGCCCCGCGGTTTCACCCGCGACATAATGATTTGAAGTTTTCATGTTTTCCCGTGGGAATAAGTAATTTTACCGCGGTAAAAGTATCTTATGTATTATTCCAGGTTATATTCTATCTGTGTACCAAATTTCATCCAAATCTGTCAAGCCGTTTGAGCGTGGAGAGGTAACACACACACACACACACGCACGCACGCACACACGCACGCACGCACGCACGCACGCACGCACGCACACACGCACACACACACGCACACACGCACACACGCACACACGCACACACGCACACACGCACACACGCACACACGCACACACACACACGCACGCACACACGCACACACACGCACGCACACGCACACACACACACACACACGCACACACGCACACACACGCACACACGCACACACGCACACACACACACGCACACACACGCACACACGCACACACGCACACACACGCACGCACGCGCACACACACACACACACACACACACACACACACACACACACACACACACACACGCACAAGCTCTCGGATTTATAATGTTAGTATGGATTGCCGTCATAAACAACCAAAACTAGAACAGAGACAAAAGCACAAAGATGTATACTATAACTAATAAGTATATTAAGAAAAATTAGCAAACAAGCTTCGGCAATAGTAGGTCGTAGGTCCAGTCAATCATTTGATCCAGAACGTTCAAAAATTTAATGGCTATCATCAATACTTTTATGCGTCCAGGGTCAAATAAACGAATCATTCACAATTGACACATGACAAATGCAGACGTATCTAGCGCCACAGCACCGGTGAGTACTGCCTGTTAACAAATACATACATTTTATAGTATTCTATTAATAATTCGTTCACAAGTAATCGGTCTACAGCTTAACATTCGGATCTCGCCTAGAGTTGGAAGAATTTGCTATAATTACCATGCAGTTGAATTGGCCATCAGCATCACTATACAAGAGCTTTCATTTTTCACAACTAAGGCGTTATTTCCCAAGTTTGATTTTCCATTCCAGCTATTGCCACTGTATCTAGGATGATCTCGGTTTCCCTTAATCAACTCTTACTTTACTCCCTGGAACGAAATGGGACGATGCATTCTTCTACGTCGCCAGCACAAAGAAAAAGAAGTTATTATAAGTAATCAATCGTATCCTTACAATTTATTTGCCTAGTCTTACCAAAATAGAAGAGAGCATCAATCTAGATGTTTGTATTGTTTTATAAAAAAAATGACTATATAAGGCTTTTAGCATTACTAGTACTGCTGCAATCCCGTAATCGTTTTTAGACGTGGTAAAGCCTCGCTGCAGCTATATTATGGTTGTAGCATTAACCGGGTAAGCCATGCAAATAACATCCTGAGCTAGATAAAAGTCATTTGTTTTGATATTACTGACAGACACTTCAATTTTATTTATAAATGTATAACATGGATCATGCTTTCTTTCATAAAGCGTTTAGGACTAGTTACTTTCATACTATAGATATTAGAAATACATCAAGTCTGCCAACAATTTATTTGCTGTTGCAAGGCGGACGTATCTTATAGCTGTCGCTCTCGTATCTTGACAAATAATGAAGAAGTCTCTATTGTTTATTATGCTCTCGACATAAGCTGTGTATGCGGAACATATATTGCATAAGTTGCACTGCCGTCTTTCCATCTAAGTAAAACGGTCTAGGGATACTGTAACATATCTAGCGCTAGTTTCTATTGATAGCGCTATTGTAAATGATAATCTTCGACATCGTTAACAGCGATAATTACTTCATCAAATATTTTCAAGCATAGTTGTAATATTTTAAATACAAAACAGTTGAAACTATAACCGCATGTGCAACATATAATTGCATGTTCTTTGTTTACTTATACTCGTAACTATGAAACAATATGTGGATACTTTTTTGCATGTCATTTCGAGCTTACTGAAACTAGTGAAACAGTTAAGATCGGTTAACAGTGTTTTTATTAAACGGGGTTTAATATAGCTAATGTGATCTTTTTTAATAGTATTGAGTTTCTTAATACATAAATTCAAATTTAAATATTTTATCTTTTCAGAACAAGCGAGCTTGTGGCGCTGGTCGCAGTTTCATGCACCCTGTTCTTATTCTTGCACACTCGGGATCTAAGCACCAAACTACGTCGTATGCAAGGACGACTTAACGATGACGTCACAGCGTTCCATCACCTCACAGAGAGTAAGTTTGCATATTTTTTTATAATTTTCTGGCGTAATGAACAACGGGTGTTTTACTTTTGTATTTGGAAACTGCTTGTGCTTCTGTAACTACTATAGGGGCCATCGTGATAGGCGACAATGGGAAATGCCAGAAAAATCTTATGGCTACCGACAGATGGTGCTATACCATCTCGTTTATGTCAGATGTAACCAAGACTGGCGATGGTCAAAATTGCGAGGCATCTGAATTTATTATCGTGATGGCTAAGAAAAATTCAATCTACAACGGGAAAGGATGTTCTATGCCGTGAAATCTTGAGGGCTGACGAAGGAGATGAAGAATTTAATAATACATTATTGATATTGATTACATAAGAGCCGTGGTAGCTCAGATGGTTAGCGCTCGCTGTAAGCTTCACAGTACTCGAGCAACCCGGGTTCGATCCCCGCCGGCACCAATGAAATTGTTAATTGCAATTTTAAGTGTTCGTTTATCACGTGCTCGGCGGTGAAGGAAAACATCGTGAGGAAACCTGCATGTCTGAGAAATAAAAAAAAATATTTCGAAGACATGTAAAGTTCGCCAACATGCATTGGGGCAGCGCGGTGGACATTTCCTTGCCCTAAAACCCTCTCAGAAATGAGAGGAGGCATGTACCCAGCAGTGGGACGTAAATGGGACGTAACTTTACTTCTTTACATATGTAAAACTTGGTAGCTTAGGAGATAAGCACTTGTCTGAAATTTCATGGTATGTAAAGATACAAGTAAGGCGAGGTTGATCTACATCAGTACCCATGAAATTTAGTTTATGAGGTGATTCCACGAGTTCGGCGGTAAAGGAAAATATCGCGAGGAAACCTGAAAGACCGAGCAAAAACTTAAATAAACATTTACAAAGACATGTGTGATTTCCGTCGGTACACATTGGTCAGTGTGACGAACTCTTTCTGGTCAAAACCCTCTTAGAGCCGAAAGGATATGTTTGTTCGGCAGTGGGATATAAATAGGCTAACTTTACGTATTTTTTTTTAATTTTCTGATATATTTATATAGCATCATCATTCACTATTACAGTCACGGCTAGTACTACAAGTCACGGCTCTGAACTTGAACTCCCAACTACCTGCATATAATAATTTCACATTTTCCGTTTATTAATTTTAATTTAAACAGAATGAAATCATTAAAATTATATTTATTATAACTTTCAACTACTGCCAGGAATGTCCTGATAAATATTACTTTGAGTCTAATAACAGTTGATTCTACAACCGTGACGCTAACGGTAGGTATAAGCTTTAGGTCAAAGGAAAACTATTCCGAAAAAAACAGTCGTAGAAAAGATGCTTTTGGTATGCAGTTCAGCGCATCATATCCCATTGTGCGGGCGCACGCGTTTGCTCGCCAATCCGGTCACTACCACAGGAACTCGTCCAAACCTTCACTAACACAAAAAATCGTTTTATGGCGTCTCTGTACATTGAATCACTCCGATACCGTTCACCGACTCTCGCTGTATTTTACTTTTTACTCCATCTCCGTCGATCACTGATCCAAACAATATTGTTTTGCTCGTACCGTATGGCAAAAATAAACAACTGAGTTAATAAATATTTTGATGTCATCGTCCCTATAGGTAGCGGCGTACAAAATTTACTCCCCATATTATTCCGTGGGTGTCGTAAAGGACGACAGAGGTAAACGGATACTAAATATAGAATATACGAAATATGGTTGCCATCCCGCCTACCAAACGAAGTAACTAATGCAAATATCCTTTCTATGAGGCAACCTATTAGGGACACATTGTATAGTGGACTTTTAATTGGCAGTAATGAAAATGATGATGACAAAGCTTAAAATAGATGCTACATCACAAACGTTATACTTATGAAAAGGTGCTGGTTATGGGGACTGGTTTTCTCGAGTTTTTAGCTTTATTTTTGCATATAATTTTTTTATTTTCTTTGTTCTCCAGACAAATGAACTTTATTTTGAAACGCAGTAGATTAAAAACATGTTGACATTTTTGAAAAACGAAATTTTTATTTCTTATATCGAAAAAATTATGAGTTTTCATTTCATTTCATTTCACCGTATTATTCTATTTTCTATATGAATGAATATATTATACAATGACGAAAAAAAATTTAAAGCCCATCTGAACGAATTTGCGAATGATTAGATTTTGTGGTGATGCAACAAAGAACTTACTTTCTTTGCGGGAAAAAATTGTCGGCATCTACTTTTATGAGAAAATTGCACGGACAAAATAAAGTAAAATTTAACAGTTTCAATTTTAACAGAATTCTATTACCACACGAATGAAATTACCATCTATAATAGGTAGAGTAATATTAAATTTTTCATGTTGCTGTATTGAATAACTGGTCTTCGCGGTTATAAGCATGTTACACAGATTTTTTTTAATGTTTTTATAACTTTTGTTGTTATATTTCCTTATAAAATGTTCAATCATACTATGGAGGGACTTGGGATGAGTTTTGTGCAAGGCGTTGAATAATTTTCACTAACAACTTTTAACTATAATAGTAGTCAGAATCAAGTTTGCTTATAGATACATCCATCCATTATAGCTTGTAAAAATGAACATAGGCGTCTCCCATAGATTGCCATAGTTGCCAAGCTTGTCAGGTGGTTTGGCGAGTGCAGTATTTTTATAATTTTGAGTTGTTTTGAAGAAGATGCTGCTGCTCATCCCCTGTTTGAGTTTTTTTTTCACTGTCACTAAAACTCACGGGACGATATGGGGTAGTGGATATTTTTACTCTGCCACATGGTTATATAACTTTGATGAGTTTGCACGCCACATCAAGTTTTGGAATTAAATCGCCTCTCATTATAAAAATGTCTCGCTTAGAGACGGCAACAGACGGGCCGTTGGGTAAAGGGCGCAAATATGACTCTTTGACGGAGAACTATCTAATTGTATCATTTTAGGGTTTCTTGTCTCAAAAGGTACCAATGAAACTCAGAATGACTTTGTTATGAGAGTGTTACGTTGTAGAACGGCCAGTTTCTGGGAAACTGTACGTAACTCAACAAATGAATTAATTCAGCAACGGCTCAGGTTTCTCCTGACAATATATTTTATAAACACTCGCAGGGGATTCATCGGACGCAATAGAATTTAAGTATAGTATTTTAACTCACAATATAGTGTAATCTGTAGTTGTATGTGTATATATTTTGTATGACTGATTGTCTTAGATTTAAAAAAATGTATTAGATATAAATGGGTTGATATCTTAATAAATAAACATTATTATTATTATTTGTTGTGTGTCTGTTTGTCAAGACCCTTTTGCATAGAAACTTGAAAAAATAATATTAAATACTAAGGTCCTTTAAAGGTGTAAAAAGTTAGTTTCTAAAACTATCAAAAGATACAGCCATGTATGTCACATATCTTAATACTCGTAAACTCACTCATCAAAACTTACAGAGCATTTTCTGTTGACCTAAAACCTTAAATTATTATAAATATATTTTATTTTATTAATTTACATTTGCAGTTCAGCATTGACCATGAGGAAGACCGATGTAGGGGAGAACATCTTTTTCACTGCAAAGTTAAGTTTTCCCTTTGATCTGACTTATTTTTCGTTAATTATTTAGTGATTTACGTACATAACATAATAACATATTAATTTATGTTTTCGTTAAAGCAATATTGGGTTCTTGCCTTATCTATAATTCCTGGGATAGAATTCTATTTATATATCTAATTAAGTTTATATGGAACCTTTAGTGCGCGATCCTAGTCGCACTTGTCCAGTTTAATTTCATAGAATAGGAGGCAAACGAGAATTAGCGTCACCTAATGGTAAGTGTTCACCAACGTGGTCATGGATCATTTCCAACACCAGAGGAATAGAACAGAAAGATAAAGAGTAGTATAACAAAATTAAGTATTAAAAAAAGTGTTTGGGTATACCGTTATTTCGTTAACTTATTTTTTTATAGAGGAGTCACACGGCAGTGTCAGGGAGGGATCACGCTCTCACAAAATACCAAGGTAAACGAGCAGAATAATACTGCTGTGTTTCATACGATGGATGTAAGAAACCGGAGTCCCTTTTACTGTTAATAGGGTGTTCTATCTTAATCCTCACGGATGGCAACCCATCTGCATTTTGATACTTAATTGAGGATGATTGTAGGCATCCACTAATCACAATGTTGTGTTCGTTTATTTATATCATTCTCGTTTATATATAGCTATATCCATTTGCTGAACAGATTTTGCCAAAGATTTCTTAAGGTCTACCTCCTTTTCTGTCTCGGAATATATTTAATGGTGCCACCCATTTTTCTGGCTCTGATCTCGAGCAGCAATTTATCTATCGAAGGCGAATTCTTAAACTCGTTCGTTTTCAAAGGATGTTGTTCGATCATAAAACAAAAGAGAATTGATATATCGTAGTCCGACTGAAGAAGACCAGATTTTGATTGATGATTTTGATGATTTTTGGTATTTCATTGTACGCCGCCATTTCATAATTTAGCCGATTTTTTAATAATATTTTTTTTATTTTGGTTACATAACATTATTGGAGGTATTCGTTTCTAATGGTGCCGCTAAGAATCTATCATTAGTAAAAAATTAAAACGTACATATATGACGATGTAAGGGCAAAAATACTGTCTAAGTCCACTAAATAGAACATATTTCACTAAAACAATGTAAAATTTTTGAGTAATTATATTTTAAATTAAATGATCTTCCAAGCAACACTTATCGTTCTAAACATGGTAATTATGTTTATGATTGCACGGTGCGTCCGACGTTAAACATATTACAAGTGTTAAATTACACTATTTAGTTATTTTCATGCCTTAGAATTGAATACTATTATTAAATAACTTAATTATTCTTTTTTACTTTGGAATTGTAGTTAATTTGTTTCTGTTATTAAAAACAGATTAAGATACGTAAGGGTAATATGGTCACCTTAAACTTTGCCGCCCTATAAAACCAAAACTAGGAGGAGG